CCCGACAAGAGAATCCTCGCAGCCAAGGCTGATGTCACCTCTGCGTTCAGATATGTGAGGATATCATCAGATCATACACTCAAGTTTTGCTACGTGATAGGAGACGTGCTTGTAGCGGACCTACGGCTGACCTTTGGCTGGGCAGCGTCACCAGGATTGTGGGGTGTGTTAGCCTCCGCTGCAGAGCACTCGCACCGCAACACGTCCCTCGCGAACGCTAGACTACTACCAGAAGGAATCGCAATGATGTCCCACGTGAAAATAAAACCTCCTTGGGAAAAAGGCACCCCAACCCCAATACATCGTCGGCAGGCGTAAGACCGCATAGAGGCGGGGGACCCGCGGACGATTTCCTGGCCAGGGTCTTCGTTGACGATTTCTTGCTCACGAAGGTACCGCATTGCCCCACTGACCAATCGGCACTCATTGCTTCCGCCTCGCTAGCGTCAGACCATGTCAGACTGTTTGGCAAGGGAGAAGTCGGAGAAACCCCCATTCTCGCCCCGAAAAAGAGCACTGACTGGGACACGGTCATAGAGGCCCTGGGGTACATCATAGACACGCATGATGGCAGAATTGCAACCGCACCCGAACGGGTAAGCGCGATTCGGAACATACTAGAGGCAGATTGGCCCCACGATAGGAAGAATGCCAGTGTTCAAGAAGTCCTCAGCATTGCAGGAAAACTGTGTGGAACCTCACTCATTTTATCAGGGCAGGTAGGTACTTCGTGTGGCAACTGCTCCGCCTATCGGGTCTGCATACGCAAGCCAGTCGACACACACGGTCACGACGACTAGTGGACTTGGGTAGAGAGTTCCACGGCGATATCGCCTTCTGGAAGTGGGCCCTCAATCAGCCACTGGCACTTCGAGGGGAGTCCCTCAGCGCATCGTTCTTCCTCCACGTATAATGAGCACCCTCACGCCTTTACCTCTCAGACGCTAGCTTCACAGCGATTGGCGGCTACTGTCCCGAACTAAAGACTTTCTGGAGATACACGATCGAATCACNTGGGTAGAGAGTTCCAAGGCGATATCGCCTTCTGGAAGTGGGCCCTCAATCAGCCACTGGCACTTCGAGGGGAGTCCCTCAGCGCATCGTTCCTACTCCACGTAAAACGAGCACCTTCACGCCTTTACCTCTCAGACGCGAGCTTCACAGCGATTGGCGGCTACTGTCCCGAACTAAAGACTTTCTGGAGGTACACGATCGAATCACCGTTGTCTGCGGAGCTCAAGCGCAGGGCGCAAGAGAAGGAGACGGCAGACATTACGTTCAATCTGTTAGAACCGGGCATGTTCATGACCGCGTGGGTAGTCCAAATGATCTTGAACGACAGACCTATAGAAGAAGGACAGTCGGTGTTGATGCGTGGAGACAACGTGTCGACCGTCAGTTGGACTAACAGGTGTCGAGGATTGCGTGACAGGCGCGCTAGCCTCATAGTGAGACTCATGGGTAGGATGGAAATTTCTTGCGGCTGGTGCCACGTGGCCAAGCACATCCCTGGTCGAAAGAACACACTCGCGGACGGGATCTCACGTTGGGAAGAAAACGAGATTGCCGACAATGTGAAAAGGCTCACAAAATCGTCAGGGTGGACACAGCAGGATATTGGAGAAGGGGGACGAGCGTTGCTCAGCATTATCCTACAAAAGAAATTGCCAAAAGAGAGTCTGGACGACTCGGAATGGGACATTATGGTCCAAGGAACAGAAAATATCTGACACGGCAGCGGGGGCGGTTGGACACCGCTCTGTGTTCCGGACGGTCAACGAATTATCAAACGAAATGAGATAGCGAGAAGCTGGAGCGGTGGACACGCCTCACATTCACTGTTTCATGACGCCTTGATGAAATGGATAGCCGGGGGAGGCAGAGTTGGTTTGGACGACCAAGTTTTCCTGTTCTCCCCTCAAGGAAAGTCGGGGCTATCCATGGTTCGGCAGGAACTTGTCGTACCTTAGGAACCTCGAAATGTGCGCAGTCCTCACGCTGTGTGTATACCCGATGATTGTTTATCAGGAACACAGGGAAAGGATGGCCGGGGAGGCACGAGCGTCGAGGGGGAGCGGTTGGTCAACGCACTCACCTTCGGGTCTTTGGGAAGTGGTACCAACAAGGTGTATCAAAGGATGTGGAACACGTGGAAGGAGGCTCGTGCAGGGGCGGGTTCGGGCCCGTGGCTCCGCGAGTGCGATGGGGTGGAAAGTGCGGTGCGTGAGCTGTCGGTGTTCATGGTTTGCCGGTGTTTCGGTCACAAGAACCAGAGTCAGACTATCCGCGGGTATCTCTCAGCCATCAAGTACTTCCATAAGATGCACGCAGGATGGGAGTTGCCCACTTCGCATTTCNGTGATGGGGTGGAAAGTGCGGTGCGTGAGCTGTCGGTGTTCATGGTTTGCCGGTGTTTCGGTCACAAGAACCAGAGTCAGACTATCCGCGGGTATCTCTCAGCCATCAAGTACTTCCATAAGATGCACGCAGGTTGGGAGTTGCCCACTTCGCATTTCTAGCTCCTTGCCATGCTGAAGACCATTGATAGGGTCCACGCCAATACGAAGACGAAGCCTAAGGTTAGGGACCCACTCACATGGAACATGCTAGAGGCTGGAAAGTGCGTGGTCGAAAAATCGGGAGAATCAGGGAAGTTGATGTGGTGCGGACTTGCCCTCTCGTACATGCTGATGTGCCGAGCTTCAGAACTCTGGGCGGACGACTCGGGGCTCGTGCACTCGGGTTTTTTTCTAACAAGAGGAGACCTGGGTTTCTTTTGCGGTCCGGTAAGGGTTGCATGGGCAGACCGGAGGCAGGCTAGCCGAGTGGAAGTCACGTTCAGAGCGTCAAAAGCAGATCAAAAACGTTTGGGAGCAACCGTCACTAGATCGGGAGAAGCGTTGAAGGTGTTACGCGATATGTTAGATCTGCACCCCGAGCTTGGGAGTCATGCGCCGTTGACGCAATCGTGGGCACAAGACAGGTAGAAGGTTATTTCGAGGGCAGAGGCATCGAGACACCTCAGGTTACTCGTTAGTGCGGCGGGTAGAGACCCACAGAAGTATGCGTTGCATTCAGGAAGGATTGGGGGGGCCGCGCACCTAGCAAGTATGGGGGCGTCAGTAATCCAAATCCAGAGAGCCGGGAGGTGGAAATCATCGGCTTTTATGGTGTACGCTAGGGCGGGGGATGAAGGAGCAGACTTTGTGTCTCAGGCCCTTACGGAACCCGAGGAGTGACCAGGGAGCGGTTCGGAGGAGTAGGTCATCGGACATGCTCAATGGAGTAAGATGTGTTTAGGCCAGAGGCCGAAACAATAGTAATGATAGTAGGGCAATCTTGGGAAGTTTGCAACGGGTTAGTCCGATAAGATAACGTTGGGAGCAAGACGGCATTTTACCTGCGCTCTCAATTTGTTTCATGTGTCTTGGTTTTTCTTTGGTTGCCTGCAGAAAAAATAACCCATAATTCTTGAGCAAACATAAACGAGAAGATTCAGTACGTATTGGAATCTGTGGTTTGTGGAGGCGTGTTGGAATTCGGAAAAGCGGGATCGAAGATAAATAGAGACAGCCCTGGTGTCAGAAAGTTTTTGTGCTCTCGCTGGGCGAGAGACAAGCAAGTGCATTTGAGAGAAGGAGAGGAGTAGCAGAGACAGCAGCTTTGAGGAGCAGCAAACACGGTGTGCCGCCTAGGATTTGATCGATTTTCCCCCCCACCCACACCTATCGCTCAAGAGAGGGGGGAGCATGGGGGGGCCTAGTCGGTTTATTATGAGTGAGATGTGTTTAGGCCAGAGGCCGAAACAATAGTAATGATAGTAGGGCAATGTTGGGAAGTTTGCGACGGGTTGGTCCGATAAGAAAACGTTGGGAGCAAGACGACTTTTACCTGCGCTCTCAATTTGTTTCATGTGTCTTGGTTTTTCTTTGGTTGCCTGCAGAAAAAACAATCCAGAATTCTTGAGCATCCCAAAATCGATCAAGTCCTAGGCGGCACTTCGTGTTTGCTGCTGCTCAAAGCTGCTATCTCTGCTACTCCTCTCCTTCTCTCAAATGCACTTGCTTGTCTCTCGCCCAGCGAGAGCACAAAAACTTTCTGACACCAGGGCTGTCTCTATTTATCTTCGATCCCGCTTTTCCGAATTCCAACACGCCTCCACAAACCACAGATTCCAATACGTACTGAATCTTCTCGTTTATGTTTGCTCAAGAATTATGGGTTATTTTTTCNCCTGTCTCTAGTTATCTTCGATCCCCGCTTTTCCGAATTCCAACACGCCTCCACAAACCACAGATTCCAATACGTACTGAATCTTCTCGTTATTGTTTGAGGAGTAACCAGAAACGGGTATACCCGGGTACTTCGTCACCACTTTCGNTCCCAAAATCGATCAAGTCCTAGGCGGCACTTCGTGTTTGCTGCTGCTCAAAGCTGCTATCTCTGCTACTCCTCTCCTTCTCTCAAATGCACTTGCTTGTCTCTCGCCCAGCGAGAGCACAAAAACTTTCTGACACCAGGCCTGTCTCTAGTTATCTTCGATCCCCGCTTTTCCGAATTCCAACACGCCTCCACAAACCACAGATTCCAATACGTACTGAATCTTCTCGTTATTGTTTGAGGAGTAACCAGAAACGGGTATACCCGGGTACTTCGTCACCACTTTCGGGTATACACTTGGAAATCAACGCGCCTGCAACCCCAGGTACCCCCAGGTAGCCGGCGGCATCTCCAAACTGTCTGGTGTTACCGATGCTGGTTACTGGTGTACCCGGAAAGGGTCGATTTTGTACCCAGAAATGGTCATGTAATCCCGGCGCCGACGACTCTAAAACCCGCAGGAAAAACCGTATACCGGACATACCCGCACGACACACCATATACCGCACATACCCCACAGTAGCCACACAAAACCACCAACGCTTGTTGACGGGCACATTGTCTCCAAGGATGCCAATCTCCGACAGCCTCCTCCTCCGTAGATCGCGGCGAGAAACCAACCGCCGTGCCCGGCCCCCGAAGGCAGGTCCTAACCACACACAACACACCTCACCCACGCACCACACGGCGGTCATCGTGCTGGGGAATGGCAACCATTACAAAAACGCGAAAACCTTAAAGGCTAGATGTGGCGGCCATGTTCTCGGCAGCTGGCCGTAGCTTTCATTCCGGGAAGGCAGGCGGCAGGCAGAAGAAGTACATCTGCAATGGCGCCGCAGGAGGATGCCAGGCGACCGTGCGAGCCTGCAGGCAGTGGTCGGGAGAGTTCAAGGTGACGTTCTTCATCCCGGAACACAACGACTGCTCGGGCGGCAAGGTCGGAGCGAAAGCGGCTGCGCTCGAGGGCTTCGCCAGTGCCGCCATGGTCAGCAACCCGACCATGAAAGGNCGGTGAGCTATGGCGCGGCGTCACGCCTGAAGGTCGCGGCCACGAGAGCATCGAAGGAGCAACTGGAGCACGGGAACCGCATCATGGACTCGTTCTGCAAGGAGATGGTGAAGGACTGTCCGGGATCGGTTGCGGTGGTGCAGGTAGGTGGATTATCAGCGGTGGTTGAATTCGTGGGTAGAAATGGCTTGAATGAATGGTGTCTGTTGTGGGTAGACTGCACCCCCGATGTTGCCTCCGCACCACCATCCAGCGAGAGATTTTTTGAAAGAGTTTTGAAACTTGTTTGAATTTGCAATCGAACTTGTGCCATCCTCCTACCCCCCTTCGATGTGTTTCGTCCTCCCCTGCGCTCCTCTGCACTGCTGTGTCAGAGGGAGACTACCGGCAGGTTCCGCAGTGTTTTCGTCATGCTCGGGCGTGCTGCTCGCGCTGCGGTGCGAAGCCCGATGAAGGTGTGTGTCACGCAGAGTTGGGATTGGCCCTTTCCATTTTTATTCGGAACACACGTGTGCACCTTTGCGCCCTCCTTGTTGCACGGTGCATGTTGTAACCCATTGGAGTATCAATTTGAGGATATTCCTGTTCTAACACCACGTAGACTATGTTGAATGCAGTCAAACCCTTGTGTCGAGTGTCATTGTCATTTACGCGCCCGAAGATGTGTTCACGAGGATGTGGTCAACCGTCTGGGGTATAGGCGGACGAACGCACTGGCCCCCCATTACC